TAAAACATTATCTATGCCTTTCCCAATCCTCTTTGGACCTTAGTTGCCCTTCTTACTCCAGTTGCATCACTTATTAGCTGCAGGGGGCAGGAGGCAGTACCCATATTCTTTGGGGAATTTGTCTAGGCATACAGGCCTCTCGTAGAGCATACATTATAGCAGAAGCAGACAGATGGCTGAGTTTTTAAAAAGTTAATGATACAGTGTCAGGTGATAGTAGGTGCTAGCTGTAAAAATAAGGCAGGCAGGGAAAATAAGGAATGTCAGGGTTAAATTATAAATGGGGTGATCAGGAAGCCCCACTGAGAAGGTGACATTTGGACAGAGACCTGGAGGAAGTGAGGGAGTGAGCCTTTGGCAGGAAAGAGCATTCCAGACAGAAAGAATGGCGAGCCCTGATGGTGGGGGGTGGCCTGATGTTTTTGAGGGGCACAGAGGAGGCCAGTATGCCTGGGGCCCAAGAAGAGTGAAACTGACCCTTGAAGTCTCAGTGTTACTGGCTCATATTGGGGGCACTGACTACATTGTCTCCTGTTAGGTGGGTACTGCTATTGTCCTCATGTTACCAAAAAGGAACATGAAGTTTGAAGGGGTGAAGAGATTGGCCCATCCAGTTAACAGAGGCACTCTGCCCTGACTCCAAGTGCACCCTCCGCCACTCTGCCCAGATCCCTGACACTGCCCTCGCCCCACATTACTCATTCAGCCTCCTTGGGGCACTTGGCACCCCAGGTTCTTGACATTTACAGAAAGAGTAGGCTTCTGATCTTGGCTTCATAGGCCTCTGCTTCTACCAAAGGATTGGTACCATTTGGTTCCAGTCTCTTCCCAGTAGATGAGTGGACTACAGCTGTGTCACCTGGATTGCCTCGGGTGTCTGGACGGTGGTTCTTACTGTCCTGGGGAGATTGACCAGACTGGCCTTGGAAAGCCTTTCGAAAGGTCAGCGGGTGGAAAAAGCCCTGTCATGTGTCCCCAAAACCTGGAAAGTGCCCGGGAGACGGGGGTCTGGATAAATGCTAGCCTGGAACATTCCAACTCTCTCTGGAACAACCAACTTCTCTCAAAAATACTTCTCACCAGTGTTTTAGTGTAAAAGGTTTTAGCTGGAAATATTTCCCCTGCTTGTCTCTGGAAGGTTTGGGTGGTACTGGCAGGGCTGTGCAGACATATTTCCCAGAGCATGAAGACCACCTTCTCACCCACCTGGGCTGGTCATGAGGTCCTAAGAGTGGGGCCCAGGGAGAATAAGGAGGACCCTTAACTATACTTGGGGGTTAATTGCTGCTTTCTCTTTACTTCTCTGCAGAAAAGTTTCATGACTCAGCCTGTAACCCTTCTGGACACCTATACACACTGGCAACAGTAAGTCTCACCTGGCTGAAATTGTGGTGTATGGACATCCCAAGCTACCAGCTTGGAATCAACTAGGATGCACTCTGGGCTAAGATCTGTCCCCACAGCCCACTGTAGGTACTGTTACCACCTCCAGGAAGCCAGATCGCAGATACGGGTGTCTGGTAGTGGGAGAGGACACAGAGCTGTGATCAGTGTCTCTTAAGGACAGAAGCTTCTCTGCAGCTTACTATTCATTAAATCAATAAGCATTTGTTGAGTGCCTGCTGAATGCCAGTCTCCGTTCTAAGTACAGAGCCATTGTCATGAGAGAGACAGACATGTTCCTTCTTCCTTGGAGCTGACAGTGGAGTCTGGGAGGTAAGCATGCCTCAAAGGGTGAAACGCATGAGTGTAAAGTGACCACAGTAGTGAGGAGTGCGAAAGAGGTGCCTGGTGCCCAAACCACAGGAACAGATGAGCTTAGCCTCATCTGGGGGTTTAGGGGAGGCTTCCTTGAGGTGACCTTTGATCTGAGAGCTGCAGGGAGTAGGGGAGTGAACTAGGCAGTAGGTGTGGAGAGGCCGGTGGAGTCTACCTTGCAGAGGGAACTGTGGGTGCTGAGGCCTGTAGCCTCAGGCACGGTACAGATGAGGCTGGACAGTTGGCAGAGCCCACCCGGTGCAAGACCTGATCATCTATGGGGAGAGGTTACGTCTTTGCCCCAAGAGCAGTGGAGGCCACCGAAGGGTGAAGAGGACAGCGGTGCTGCACTCTGCAGCATGGCATGACTAGGCGGATAACATCATCCAGGCAAGAGCTGATGGGGCTTGAGACAGGAGTAACAGAGGAGTAGACGGTAGATTCCAGGAATGGTAGAGGATGAGACCAGTGTCTGTGGGTGGTTTGGAAAGGCAATCTAGTGACTCCCAGTGTCTGGCTTGTACACTTGAAAGGAAGAAACCTAATTTGAAAGGAAAGATTTCAAGGACATGTTGGATGTGGAATGCCCGTGAAACCTGTAAAACAAGGAAAGGGGAGTGATCCAAGGGTGTATCAACAGAGGAATGGTTTGAGAATGAAAGAGGGGATAATTGTTTTCTCCATGAACTGACCTGACCACAGCCAGCTCGGGGAGTGAAGGACCTGCAGTCGTGTCCCATGAGGAGGGATAGTAAATCCTGAGTTGTCAGGATGGAAAAGAAATGGCAAAGGGGCAAGTGAGGGACCACGGTTTGCACATCTTTGGGGGGGTTTTCTCTGGGCCTGAGAGACTGAAGTGGGACCCATGCGTATCTATCTTTAGGAAGGCAGGTTTCAGCTTCTGAGCGTAAGCAGTTTGTCATGAGAGCGCTCCAAAAATGATGAGACTACAGTGGAGCAGTGAGTTCCCTGTCATCAGAGGTGTGTAAACAAAGGCAGGCAATGGTGTGAAAGGGACCCCAGCTTCCAGGGGAGAGCCCTGGCAGTCCTCAGGGCTTAGCTCTCCTCTGCTGCTGAGGGAGCACAGGGCACACCCCCACTTCCTCTTCCAGACCCTCTCCATCTTGCCTAGGTGTCTGGGGGTTTGCACAGCACTTCCTTCCCCAGAGAACTGCTTCAGTGAGCCGCACCACATGCCCTTCCCTGCCCCTGGCCCCTTCTATGGGACAAGGACCATACACCCACCAGAGCCAACCTAGCCTCATCGTTTCTGGCCTAGTAGTTCAAACCGAGCAACAAGCTATAGGACCCTGGACAAATTTGGCCTCCCCAAGTCTGTCTTCATCTGTTAAATGAGGATAATAATAGTACCGAGAGTGCTAAACCTGGGCATTGGAGATATGTCCCCCCCCCCAGTATATTGAGCACCTACTGTGAGCTAGGACTGTTCTAGATATAGCAGGGAACAAACCAGAGAAAAATCTATGCCTTTGTCAAACTTACATTCTGTTGGGAGGAGAGAGGCAGAAAGAACTGATAGGCGTAATAAATGAAACCTGTATTTGCAGAAGATTCCCAACAGGTGGCCTTTCTGGAAACAAGGGACTGAGCAGCACATCCCAAACTGTGGCAGGCCAACGTCTGTCCCAGCTGGAGAACATGGGTCAGATAGAGACTCCCTTGGGGTTGGGAAGCTGGGGTCAGAGAAGATGATACATGAAAGTCCTGGCAACCCAGCCACCTGGGTGCTTATCCTGCACAGAGCCATAGACTTACTCTTTCACCCTGGGCAAGTCACTTAGCTGTGAGACTCGTGCTGTGCACTTGAGGGGCTGTAGTGAGCAGAGAAGGTTCCTTCCAGCCCCCCTGGAGCCTGACTGTGTAGTGGGGGCATCGAGCAGGAAGTAGATAAAATACCAGGAGGGAGAAAAACGCTCTGAAGAAAGTGAAACAGGATGGTGTGGCAGAGATGTCTTGGGGAGGGGAAGGTGATCAGGGAGGGCCTCTTGGAGGAGGCTGTAATGGAGTTGAGGCCTGAAGACAAGAGGGACCTGGGCAGACTCTTCCAGAAAGAGGATACTGTGGGTGCCACAAGTTCTACCGGGAGGAGCCCCATGGTTGTGTCAGGTGTCTGCAGTGCCAGCCTTAACTGCTCAGTGATGGTTAGCTGCTGGTGTTACGTGTTTTCCATCTTTCCCGATTATTTTGAAGATTAAAAGACAATTGTAAAAACACGAGAAATGAGTGAAAATACAGAACGCAAAATTGTATCTACACTGTCTTTCATCGCTGTTTAAACTCTTATTTTGCGTGTTTCCTTTTGGGTCAGAGAGGATGTGGGAAAATCTTCCTTTTCAACTCTCCTGGGTTGTCCTGGTCACGCGGTTAGGATAGCCAGTCACGCTTGTCTTGCAGCACCTCGGAGGTTGGCCAGAAGTGGAAGGCGGAGGAAGATGTAGCGCTGTAGGCCAAGAAGACCCGTGTGTCAGACCCCATTAGCAGCTGGGAGAGCTTGGAAGAGGAGGCGGCGGCAGAAGCTGAAACCGCCAAAGCCAGTAAGAGTCCTGCATGCTGTGGGTCCCCCATGGTTGGTGCTGGTGGGCTTGGACCAGGGCCCTGCCCCTTCTGGGAACAGGCTGTCAGATCACTTAGAGGCAGGTGTGAACCAGGCGATCACCCCAAGAGAACGCAGTCCTCAGTGGTTTAGGATGTGGGCATGGCTCAGAGAGTTGCTGGCATTATGAGCCTGGCTTGGGAGGAGACAGAGACAGGGCGGTGGCAGCCGCAGCGAATCTACCACTGGATCCGAGGAGACCGCTGCAGTGCTTCGGAGGGCCAGCAGGGGGAAG